GGCCTGAAGTGGTTGCCTGTGCCCAACTGCCTTCGGCCTGTGTTTGGCCCGGTACCCGTATTCAGCCCAGGGCCTGCTTCACATACATTCACACAGGCGGCCCAGGGCCTGGGTTCACTCAACCAACTGGTGCTGCGCAACTGCCTGAATTTCCCTGAGTTGCGTGGTGGCCAGAAAAGGGCCCTGAGGGCCTCGTCGAGCCTGCCTTCACTTAGGGCAGCCAACGGGCTGCAAAAATGGGGCCTTATGGGGCTCATAGAGGCAATGGCCTCACATTCCCTCCTCCTTAGCTTCAACAGTCCTCTGAGAAGCTCAGTCTTCAATCATAGGGCGGTTTCCCTTCTGCAGAGATCTCTCGTATTGCGTTACAACTTGAGCATCGGTCTGCATGAGTTCTTGCCTGGTGAACCAGTGGTCCTCCTTCGGATCTGTGTGATGCCGGAACTGAACGCGGTACTGCAGTTTTGGTTTCGGAGGACGTCCCCTGCCTGCGGGTCTTGATACCGTCAGCTCTCTGTGATCCACAATATCATCGATGTCCACGTCTCCGTCCATGGTTGGGGGCAGCATAGATCTCCGAGAAGGAAACAGATCTGTGGCAGCAAAAGGTCCCAGCTTGGAGGCATGAAAGACTAGGTAAGTACAGAGATGACCAGGAATCTGGATAACGTAAGATGGCCCATCCGGATCTGTCCCGGTGATGTCTAAGGCTTCCCAAGGTCCAAAGTACTGGGGCATGAGTTTGCGGGAAATCCCATACTCCTGTCCCAGTTCTGAAGACTTAACCCAGACCCGATCCCCAACCTGAAATGTAGAAGGCCGGCGGTGTCTGTTTTCAGACTCTATCATTGCTGCCTGAGCCTTCTGCATCTGTTCTACAGCCTGCTGCATTTTCTGTTCATATCTGTAGGCAAACTCTAAAGTACCCGGTGCAGCAGTTGATTGATTCACAGGAAGGAGAAAGTCAAGGGGTAGTCTAGGCTTGAAAGTCAGTAGTAAACTGTTCGGGCTCACCCCAATGGCACTGTGTACTGCATTGTTATACAGAGTGGCGATGAGTGCAAGCTTCTCATCCCAGTCCACCTGGTGAGCTTGATATAATGCCTCAACAGGTGTTGTACAACGCGGTTCAGTTGCTCGGCCTGGCCGTTAGCCTCTGGGTGATTCCCAGAAGTCATTTGCAACTGAGTGCCCTGCTCTGCAGCAGCGGCCTTCCACAACTCGCTGGTAAACCTGACATCCCTGTCACTAACAATAGACTTCGGTAAACCAAAGTCTCTAACCCAGTTTTCTTTGAACATTCGGATCACATACTCCGTCTTTGTTGTTTCCGGCATAGCTACTTACCTAGCATACTTACTAAATTTATCCACAATGACGAAGATGTGACGCATCCCACTCTTGCTGGTGATCAGAGTATCCATGAAATCTATGGACATACTCTCACCAGGCCGTTCCGGAATCGGAAGGGGCTTCAGAAGCCCAAGAGGAGCCTGAGTATGTGGCTTGTCCCGTTGACAAACTTGACAAGTCTCCACGTACAGTTGGGCATCTCGCATCATCGTGGGCCACCAGAACCGGTGCAGCAAGTTGGCTGCGGTCTTCTTATACCCAAAATGGTCGGTGGCATCATGACACTCACCTAAAAACAAACTACGCAAAGACTCGCTATTTGGAACACACAAGCGTTTATTCCCTGCCTTCTCCAGGAACAACAAGCCATTGACCAACTCAAACTCGGCGGAAGTCTTCTTGTCCTTCGCCTCAAGTCTGCGTATGATCTCAGACATAAACTGGTCCTCACGATAGGCTTCCACCAAAGACTGAGTAACATTGTCCGTCAGATCGAACTCAGTAATCAGCGCACCTAAGAAGTCCGGTCTGCGCGGCAAGGCATCATCAACCTTGTTGTACTCCCCTTTGAGATACTGAGGGTCAAAGTCATATTGCTCAATGACTTCGATCCAACGCTTGAGAGCGTCAGAGAGCACCAACTGGGTTCTCATCCATCTCAGGGTCTGATGATCAGTTCTGAGGATGAAGAACCTCCCAAGGAGATACTGTCTCCAATGGGTGAGAGCCTTGTACACCGCATAAAGTTTCTTCTCATAAGTGGACTTAGCCAACTTCTGAGACAACATTTTCTTGGACATGTACTCTACTGGCCTCAACTTTGGCCCCTCCTGTTGCGCGAGCACGGTGCCAATGCCATATTGGCTGGCATCCGTGGTGACTATGAACGGCTTGTCAGGATCAGGAAGCTTCAAGACCTTGTAGTGCGTCAATGCATGCTTTAGATGTCTGAAAGCAGCCTCGCACTCATCTGTCCACTCCCCGCGGGTCAGATCAGTCAAAGGAGCGGCCACTATGCTATAGTTCTTAACGAAAGTCCTATAGTAGCATGTCATTCCCAAGAAAGATCTCATCTCAGTCACAGACTGAGAACGTGGCCAATCACGAATGCTGGCCACCTTCACGTCATCGGGCTTTAATCCCTCCGCGGAAATCTCATGACCCAAGTACAAGACACGGGTGCGGCCAAACTCGCACTTCTCACCGTTGATCTTGAACTTGTGTTGTCGCAAGAGGCTGAAGACTTTGTCCAAATGTGCAACATGCTCCTCGACAGTCTTACTAAAAATAAGTATGTCATCGAGGTACACGACGACAAACTTATCTAAGTAGTCATGGAATATCCGATTCATAGTGTGCTGAAAGGTGCCAGGAGCAGTTGAAAGGCCAAAAGCCATCACCACAAATCGGTACAGACCGTACCTGGTCTGGAAAGCGGTTTTGTGCTGATCCTCGGGCCGGATTGCGATTTGATGGTACCCGGACTTCAGATCTATCTTACAGAAGTACCGACACCCTTGCACTCTCTCTAACAAGTCGTCGATGCGCGGTAGGGGCTCTTTGTTCTTTATCGTGATGGCATTGAGGCCCCTATAGTCAATGCACATCCTAAGAGTACCCTCCTTCTTCTTAGGTACGAATAAAACTGGAGACTCATAAGGAGAGACACTCGGCCGGATCCAACCCTTCTCTACGAGTTCCTTGAGTTGGCGGCGAAGCTCATCAAGCTCGCCTGGAGACATCCGATAGATCCTACCCTTCGGGATACTAGACCCTGGGATAATCTCTATCGCGTGGACGACCTCCCTCTCAGCAACCCCTGTCGGCTCTTCAAATAGATCAGGGTACTTAGCAACTACTCCCTCCATCTCCGGCGGCATTTTCACCGGCTCACCTGCAACAGAGACATAAACTAGGTACATACCCTCCTCCTGAATTTGCTTATAATAATTATAGAATGCGGCCGCACACATGCATCCGTGGGACTCACCCTCTGAAGCACACATGCATCCGCGGCATCTACCAGTCGCCTTACCTTTTTGAGATACGGCAGTGACTACTCCACCCTCTGAAGCATCTATGCTGCCTGCCTCTGAACCTACTCCCTCCTGGAAGTTGTCGTCCACCTCGATGGTTGAACCATCGTTGTCGACAAACATCAAGCGACCTTTCGCCTTCCAGTTAGGAGGCAGTGTCTTTTTCCTCCCATCCGTAGTGGGTGCCTGTCCATGCCCTATCTTAGCTTCAAGGTCTAGGGCCACCTTGCTAAACGAAGGAAAGTTGTGCATATTGATGTTGGCCTCTTTTGCCAACTGGTTCCTGAGAGGCTGAGAAAAGCATCTCAAGTACGAAGTTAGCAGGACCTGGGTGTCATAGCGCACCCCTGGGACACAGATCAGATGCTCAACAACGTCGATGGCTTCCCTTACTGACTTAAACTGCCTTGTGTGCAGTGTCAGGATCGCATCAGTGGCCCTTTGGGCCTCCTGAGGATCATGCTACCTTTCTTCCACCATCTTCAGGAAGTCCTCCAATTTCTGGGAGGCCGCCCAAGCGCGGAAGTCATGACCATATCCCTGGAGTTGCACTAGACTGCTCAACCATCTTGCTGCACTACCCTCTAGGTAGGAAGCAGCCACAAGCACTTCTTCGTGCGGCAAGGTGAGTTTACATGTGACGTAGACCGGCACTGCCCTCAACCACGTGTCGAGGTCTTCGCCCCTCTTATCCCCTGTAAAAGGTTTGGGAGCGGCGATGGCCGTCTTTGGAACCCATTGAGTTTGTCCCGGTCCCTGCACCACTCCGGGATGTGGACCCGGTGACACAGGTTGCTGTGCTAGCTGTTGGGGCTGTGTGCCCTGAGGCTGCACAGGCTGCGAGACAGTAGGTTGCGTGGTGACTGCAACCTGCGACGGACTTTGAGTAAACACTGTATGTACAGGAACCTGCAAACCACTCCCTGCTGTTACCCCTCCTAACAGCGGTATGCCCAGGGAAACGATAGCAACCGATGACGGGGCTACATATGGGGTTACCCCAGTCACCGGTGGGACAAAAAAAAGGAGGATATGGCACGGGCCAGGCACCAGGCCCGGCTGGTGATGGTGCTGCCTGCGCACGGCCTGCCAAAACGGCTAGGCTCTGTTGGATATCCTGAAGGATCGTAGTTTGATGCTCCTGCATCTCTATTACGCCTAGCAGGGCCTTCCTAGCTATCCTCACATCAGCATCCATGTTCGACAGGTCCATCGTTTCTAACTCCTCTATGTCTGCCCCTCTCCGCTGCATCCTGGCTCTTCTTCTGATCATCTTCTCCTTCTCCGCTTTTATTTCTCCTAATGCCCGTTGTAGCTGTGCCTCCTGCAGGGCTGCTTGCTGGATGGCGACATCCTCTGGAGTTAACACTAATGCCTGGCTTGCCATAATGCCAGTGGACTGACTCACGGTCTGCGCGACCGTTGACCCGACGGCACCTGAACTGCTGGCTTGGGAAGTCTGCTGCGCAGAAGTGACCATGGTGGAAGTAGCCATGGCTGCTGTAGCACCGACCTCGCTAACTAAAGCCCTGCTGGCCTCGGCTGCTCTAGCTCTCCTCTGCTGCTGCTGCATCTCCCTAAGCTGGTGGAACAGATGTCTGTCACCCTCTGGTCCTAATGCCAAATGGGCTACTGGGCGTTTAGCTGATCGCAATAACCTCCGGTCGTCCTCTCCAGTGTCCTCCTCGTCGCTCATAGGCTACAACGCTGTGCACCGTCTACACTAGGACACTCTAGGTGCCTACCGCAACATAACGCTCAGACCAACTAATTAGTTGGTGGCTATTTTGGAACAGATATCATTTGAGGTCAACCGGTAAGTCAGATTCCTACAACTGAAACTATTTTTAGTCGGACTAGTCCACAAACAGAGGCACCAGGAACAATAAACAGTCTAACTAGTGCTCTCTGTCAGATGTCAATGGCAGTACATCTAACTAATCAAAAACATAAAAATAAAATCAGTTGCGTGGATAGGACTCGAACTTATCACCTGGAATCAACCCCTCCCTTAGTTCCCCTGAGTATCACTTGACGTCAGCGTCCCTGAGCGATCTGGAGAGCGTTGCGTGTCTAAAGGTGTGTGTCCGGCCCACCCTTGTGCCCCGAGTATCCACTGAGCTGGCCAGCCTTGCACGTATATTTATCCTCGGCGTGCCGCGAGCCTTACATCACTGGCTGATCCAGAGGCATTTTAACGTCCGCCCCCAAGTGACATCAGGAATTATTTTACGTCGCAGCAGGACAACGATCACAGCCAGTGATATCCCCTTCCCGTGTTTATTTATAGACGTCGGGTGCTCGTCTTTCCTGTAGGGATGGCCTGCCCAGTAGTACCCATCTAACAGCGCAGCAAGCCGAACAAAGGACAAGCAGCAAGGCATGCGTGCTCTACTCCCTGTGGGTTGGCATGGTGATCGTGACCCAGTGCTTCGTCCAGGGCCCTTCAAAAAGCTTCGCCCATCTCCACCCAGATGCTCCACGTGAACATTGCCGACTCTCAAGGTTGAGCGCACTCGACACCTCACGATGAGAGGACTCTCAAGAAGAAACACACAACCTCACGGTAAGAAGTGTCAGAGAGGGAAGATAAGGTTAAGAGCAACGTACCCCCAACCACAGAGATAATCTCACCAGATGACCAAATGGTGATTGCGATGACCAGTCACTGCATCAACACAACCAGCATTATCTCGCCGTTCCACCTCAGCATCAATCGCACATTAGATAGTTCTCATCACACTATCCAGACCACATTTCACCCCACGTAGCCTTCCTGGCGATCCCCTCACCTCCTGGGTCGCCTACACACTCGTCTCCACCCTCCTCACTACACACCACTTACGGCCAAACTCGCCCAGCAGAAGGCATGTATGTACCTCATAAGGCAGAAGACAAGCGCCAGATGAGCGCAATCGTACCACAACTCTGATACCAAATTGCAAGGGAGATGAGCAATAGCGAACTTCAGCAATCAAACAACATCATACATATGAGTCCAGATAGTCTTGACCTCAAACCAACAACAGAATTGCATCATGAGATTCACCAAATAAGAACACACCAAGAGTTCATAATTGACAATGCTGAAATAGTCCCATCATCATCAACGAAGAACCAAAGTTGATATCCTATNGAGATTCACCAAATAAGAACACACCAAGAGTTCATAATTGACAATGCTGAAATAGTCCCATCATCATCAACGAAGAACCAAAGTTGATATCCTATCTGGCGCTCAGCGCCCATACTACATGTGGCAGATCCTATCTAGCCTATACTACGAAGCCGAAAGATGACATCAACAACATTCCCGAAGTACAAGAATATGGCGACCAATGTCGCACACTTCCAGCACCAGGTATGTCTCGCGCTACACTCACAACCTCGTTCCCCAACTCACAGATGCCACTAGCACCCAGAGGACCACCTTGCGCCTCACCCGACTTACCGCAGCACAACTCGGCTATGGCTGCGTGCTCCTTCCCTGCTCGCCCGTGAGAGCGTAGGCGCCAGCCAGCAAATAGCGCAGCAGCAGCGCTTCCGCAACATGCAGCCAGCACCCGAATGCCGAATGAGGAGGCAGGCCCTTCCCTATATCGAAGTGGCCTGCCTGCGTCCAGTCCCAGGAAGCTTCCAGTAGGCCCCGGTAGCCTGAGGCCCAGCACAACGAGAGCAGGCCTTGGGCCTGAAGTGGTTGCCTGTGCCCAACTGCCTTCGGCCTGTGTTTGGCCCGGTACCCGTATTCAGCCCAGGGCCTGCTTCACATACATTCACACANGGCCTGAAGTGGTTGCCTGTGCCCAACTGCCTTCGGCCTGTGTTTGGCCCGGTACCCGTATTCAGCCCAGGGCCTGCTTCACATACATTCACACAAGCGGCCCAGGGCCTGGGTTCACTTAACCAACTGGCGCTGCGCAACTGCCTGAATTTCCCTGAGTTGCTTGGTGGCCAGAAAAGGGCCCTGAGGGCTTCGTCGAGCCTGCCTTCACTTAGGGCGGCCGACGGGCTGCAAAAATGGGGCCTTATGGGGCTCATAGAGGCAATGGCCTCGCACTATGACAAAAATATGTCTCTTGCCACTCTTGTTGGTCACGAGGGTGTCCATGAAATCCATGGACACGCTCTGTCTTGGACCAGTAGGAATAGGCAAGGGCTTGATAAGCATAAGCGGGCCTTGAGTTCTCGGCTTGTCCTGCTGGCAGACTTGACAAGTATGAACATAACTCTTTGGATCATCAAGCATAGACGGTCACCAGAAACATTGTACCAGGTTAGCACTAGTCTTCTTGTACCGGAAGCGTCTCATTGCACCGTGGCATTCTGCTAGAAATAAACTATGCAAAGACTCACTAGATGGCATACACAATCTTTTGAACCCTGCCTTCTCAAGCAAAAGCAACCCAGCCACCATCAAAAACTCGTTACATGTGGCCTTGTCTCGGGCCTCAAGCTTGTGTATGATGTCCATCATGACGGCATCTTCCTTGTAGGTGCCCACCATTCATCGAGTGAGCTAATTAGATACGCCAAACTCAGTAATCAGCGCACCTAGGTAATCCGCCCTTCGAGAAAGTGTGTTAGCAACCTTATTGTACTCTCCCTTCACATAGTCTAGCTTGAAGTGATGTTGATCTATGACTTCAGTCCAGCGTTTGAGCGTCGCGGAAAGAACATGTTGCGTCTTAATCCATTTGAGCGCCTAATGGTCGGTCCTCATATAGAAAAACTTCTCCAAAAGATAGCGTCTCCAATGGATTAGAGCTTTGTACATGGCGTAGAGTTCCCTCTTGTAGGTGGACTTCGTCAATTTCTTCAATGGCATCTTCTTACTCATGTACTCGAGCGGCCTCAACTTCTTCCCATCTTGCTGAGCCAGCAATGTGCCAATGCCATATTGGCTTGTGTCAGCGGTCACAATGAGTGGCTTCTCTGGGTCAGGAAGCATGAGAACCTCATGATGCATGAGAGCATACTTTAATTGCTTGAATGGTCTCTCGCATTCGCCAGTTCATTCCCATGGTGTGTCAGAGCAAGTTAGGTCACTCAAGGGTGCGGTCACCGTACTATAGTTCTTGACGAAGTGGCGGTAGTAGCCAGTTATTCCCAAGAAAGATCCGACCTCCGTCACAGACTGAGGTTGTGGTTAGTCATAAATACTAGCCACCTTCGCATCTTCCGGCCTAACACCGTGTGCGGATACTTCACGACCCAAGCATAAGATCTTGGTGTGACCAAACTCATATTTCTCCAAGATCTTATACTTGTGTTGTCGCAGGAGTCCAAGCACAAGGTCAGTGTGCTGAACATGCTCCTCAACAATCTTACTAATAGTAATTATATCGTTGAGGCACACGACGATAAACTTATCTAAGTAATTATGAAATATCCTATTCATTGCGTGTTGGAATGTACCCGGCATATTGAAAAGCCCGAAAAGAATCACCACAAACTCACATAGACCGTACCTAGTCCGAAATGTGGTTTTGTGTTGATCCTCTGGTCTAATCGCAATCTGGTAGCTGGATTTCAAGTCTATTTTTGTAAAGTAGCTACATCCCTGCACCCTTTCCAGTAGGTCGTCAATGTGGGGTAGAGGCTCCATGTTTTTCACGGTGATGGCATTGAGGCCCCTATAATCAATGCACATCCTTAAAGATCCCCCCTTCTTTAGTACAAATAAAACCGGTGATCCAGAGGGAGATGCGTTAGGTCCTATCCAACCCTTCTCTGCAAGCTCTTTTAGTTGCCATTGAAGTTCATCCAACTTCGTCAGAGACATCCTATAGATCCTTCCCTTTTGTGTCTTACTACCTGGGATGATTTCTATGGCAAACGACCTCCCTCTCTACAACTCTCAAAGGCTCCTCAAATAGATCAGGGTACTTAGCAACGATAACTTCGATCTTTAAAGGTGATTTAACGACCTTCCCTTCCTCAACGACGAATACCCAGTACATACCCTCCGCTTGATTCTGCTTAATAATAATTATAGAACGTTGACGCGCACGTGCAACCATAAAAGTCAACTAACCTGCTAGCCTTGTACTTAGATAGTCTAACGGTCCTCCTATTTGGCAACACATGCTTGAGCATCTTTCGGTCTCAACCAAACTGGGGCTTGGAAACCTCAAGGTAATACATACCCAACAACATGTCGAATGGTAAGTCGCCGCTAACCAGGAACGAAATCTGATGATTAAATTCCCCTCCTCCATAGGAGAAGGTGCAGAGTATGTGCTTGACGTAGTCATTGACAACCATGCGCTCCTTGTTGGCTTAAGTAGAAGCCACAAACCTACTTAGTTGTCGCACCCAGCCATTAAGCACAGCCTTTCAACACAGTCACGACTTATGAAGTTTCGCGTTGAGCCATTGTCTACGAAGGCACCACACTTGCAGCCACCTACACTGACCTCCACAACGAAGTACTCCCATCTAGGACATTTTGACATAACCACCCAAGACTCACGAGGGTCCCTTGCTGACCACTCCTTTTCTGAGTATTCTAAGGCTTCAGACATATCTAACGAACAAAGTATCATTCGGTTTAAACGCGTTTGCGGGCTGACAAGTGCGTCAATAGCTTCCGCCAACTCCTGAAGTGGTGAGCAAACATCCTTCACTTCAGCACGAGTAGAGACAACTATAAGTTCTATAACCTCTACTGGCTTGATGTATTTCCCTGGGATGTGCTCGTAAAGCACCGCCCTCGGCAAAAGATCCTCC